TCGATGTTTCTCTCTCTCCCCCTCCTTCCTCCCTTCCAGTCTCTCTAAAAACCAATGGAAAAGATATCCGCAGGTGAGGATTAACAAGAACAAAAAAGTTAGAGAATTGCCATATGGTTCAACAATTCCACTCCTATCCATATACCTAGAGAATGGAAAACAGGGACTCCATAACTGTACATACATGTTCATAGTAGCACTAGTCACAATCACCAAAAGGTGGAAGCACCCCAAATGTCCATCAGCAGAGGGATGGATGGGTAAAATGTGGCCCATCCAGACAAGGGAATGTGACTCAGCTATAAAGAGGAAGGAAGCTCTGATATTGTTACAAGGTGATGAACCCTGAAAAGACTATGCTCAGAGAAAGAAGCCAGACACCAAAGACACATAGTGGATAAGTCCGTTGATATGAAATGTCCAGAACCCACAAACCCACAGAGACATAAAGGAGACTTGTGGCTGCCAGTTCCTGGAGGGGGATGGGGAGGGACTGCTATTGGGAATGGAACTTCCTTTGGGGGTGAAGGTAATGTTTTGGAACTAGATAGAGATGGTGGCAGCACAACATTGTGAACATACCAAAGCCACGGAATTGTTCACTTTAAAATGGTAAATTTTGTTCTTTGAATTTCACCTCATTACAAAAAGGGAAGAACTTTCTCTGACTCCGCCAACCTCTACCAATGAAAATTAGGCCCCACTTCTGGAGACAGGTGGTGGTGATGTTTACACAGCAAGGTGAACATACTTAATGCCACTGACCTGTACACTTAAAATGGTTGAAAAAAAAAATAAGTTTTCTATGTGTAGTTTACCACCATTATAAAAACAAAGAAAGCCCTGGCCTTGTGAGTCTCAGCTGGCTCTTACCATACACCAAAAGATTGCTGGTTGGATTCCTGGTGAGGGCACATACCCGGTTTCAGGCTTGATCCCCAGTTGGGGGGAGATGGTATGTGCAGGAGGCAGCCTATTGGTGTTCTGCTCTCACACTGATTTTCTCTCTCTCTCTCATCCTCTTCCTCTCTCTCTAATAATCAATTTTTAAAATCTTTAAAAAACAAAAAAAGCAAAAAGCGGCTCCTTTCACTCTCTACCCACTTAGCCAAACCTGAAATGACTGTGAGTTTCCAGGAGCGAGTCATCGTGAAGGCAGGTAGTGGCCCTGGGCCCGGAGGACCAGGCTTGCTGTTGGTCTCTCACTGCTGCACCCCAGCACCCGGCCCAATGGTCTCTGCATAAGCTCAGAGGCGTTGAGTGGACACCCAGCAACTAAAACAGCTTATCATCACTCAGCACCTTCTCTGCCAGGTGCCTCCCTCATGGGGTCCTCGGAGCCAGCCCTGGGAGGCAGGTGTCACTCATGATGGCCATTTGATAGAGGAGCAAAGGGGTCTCAGAGAGGGAAGGGGACCGGTGGGGTCCTGCAGCCAGAAAAGGAGGGGACCTGGATTTATGGAGAGCTGGGGAGGACTGGGGGCAGGACTCCTGGGTCCTCTCACCTGGAGAATGCGGGGACCTGAGCGGCCACCCCTCCAAAGTCTCAGTGTCCCCAAGCCACCCCACTGTACTCACTACTTCTGGCTCTGCAGGTGCAGCGTGGAGGGTGCTCCCAGGTCCCCAAGAGGCTCCCAGGAGCAGTTCAAGTCGCCTAAGGGCCCAACACCATAGCACCGCAGGGGCCCCGGGCTGCCTGGAAGAGGGCGAGGATCCCAGGGAGGGGAGGGGTCAATCCCCCGCCTCCTCACTGCCCAGAACTCGACCGCCCCAAGTTCTGATCATCCTGGAGGGTTATGGGGTCCCTTTCGCAAGTGAGCAGCAGGGAGGGGGCGCTGGGCACCTGCACCCAGGCTTTGGACATAACTCCTCCCCCCTCTACCACCACATCCTGTTACCACCCCAAGAGCTCCCACCCCAACCCCCACCCCCACCCCGGGCTGACTTCCACCCCCGGCCTCGCGCTCCCCACTCCTTTCTGCGCCCTGTCCCTGCCCAGGGAGCAGCAGAGTGGGGCCCGGACCTCTGTCATTCATCCACGAACTGGCGTTCGCCCTGGAGAATTCGCGCTTTAAGGCTGAGCGCGCGGTAGAGCGCCCCGCGCGAGCTCGGCCCGGAACTCACCCTGGACACTTGTCCGCTGGGACAGCAGCAGCAGCAGAGGCAGCAGCCGGCAGGGCGCGCCCCAGGCCCCCCTCATGGCCGCCCCTGCGCCTCCGGGTCCCGCCGGACCCTATGGGGCCCCCCGGCCGCGTTGCTCTCCGAGTCCAGCGCCCCAGAGGCGACGAGCAGAAGAGCCACCCCTCCCAGCCGCCTCCGCACCTTGCGCTCGGTCCCGCCCCTTCCCCAAAGCGGAAAGTCCCCGGGGGAGGGGGAGTGGGCAGGCGACCCGGGCGTCCGGGGGAGAGGGCTGAGGGCTCGGCCTAACTCCCCTGAAACTGAGCGCCCCCCCCCACCCCCCGCGCACCACACACACACACACACACACACACACACACACACACACACACGCTGCAGAGTCCTTTGCAACTTTTATTATTGCGGTTGGAGAAGGTTCTGATCTGTCCCGCTGTGAATGTATGAGGGGCCAGAGACAGGGATTCAGCATTGGCCCTGGCACCCGCAGCTGCCCAGTCCCGGGTCTAGCAGAACATCATCAGTTCCGTCTTGGTGCAACCCTCTTCGCAGCACTTCTTGAGGAGGCTACCCCTGTCTTTGTCGTCTCCCTCTTCTGGTTCTCCCTCTTCTCCTTCTCGGGTGACCCGCAGAGATCCATAGGAATCCTGGGCGGGCTTGGTCAGGACCGCCCAGTCACTGGAGCCTGCTGCCTCTTCCAGCTGGCTGTGTGCATAGGGCTCAGTGGGTGGGAAGGCATCCCCTGCAAAAGATGAGAAGAGTTCATGCTTGGGACCCAGCTTCTGTCACACTCAGAGTCCTGGCTCCTGCTTGGTCCAGCTGCTCTTCTGTTCTTGAGACATGGTCTCGTGGTTAAAGGTTTTGATTCCACTCAGGCCTAGGTTTCAGCTTTGATGCCTCTAATATTCAACCTCACTGAGCTTGACCTTCCTGTCATTTCTTTTTTAAAAAGATATATATTTTATTGATTTTTTACAGGGAGGAAGTGAGAGAGATAGAGAGTCAGAAACATCGATGAGAGAGAAACATCAGATCAGCTGCCTCCTGCACATCTCCCACTGGGGATGTGCCCGCAAACCGAGGTACATGCCCTTGACCGGAATCGAACCTGGGACCCCTCAGTCCACAGGCTGATGCTCTATCCACTGAGCCAAACCGGTTTCGGCTTTTTTTTTAAAAATATATTTTAATGTCATTTCTTTTCCCTTACTCTTTGTTTATGGAGGACCTGGTGGTTAAGAACATGGGTTTGGGAGTCAGACTGATTAAGCTTCGAACCAGTGTCTCAAAGTTATAATCCTGACAAAGTGAATTTGCTTCTTTGATTCTTAATGTCCTTTTCTGCAAAGTGAGGAACATAATAACTCCTAGGAATTTAGCGTTTCATGGAAAGTGTATATATACCCATTAAAAAACACACAACACGCCGGAGCCGGTTTGGCTCAGTGCATAGAGCGTCGGCCTGCAGACTGAAGGGTCCCAGGTTCGATTCCGGTCAGGGGCATGTACCTTGGTTGCAGGCACATCCTCAGTAGGAGATGTGCAGGAGGCAGCTGATAGATGTTTCTCTCTCATCGATGTTTTCTAGCTCTCTATCCCTCTCCCTTCCTCTCTGTAAAAATCAATACAATATATTTAAAAAAAAAAACACCCACACACAACACTTAGAACTGTGTCTGGCACATGAATAAG